TGATCTAACTTTGGTTTGAGGGAATAGGATTAGAGTATTATTTGCTAATTGCTAAATGTTGAGTACGGTGTATAGGCATGGTGATGAGTATCTATACACCGGTGTCTAGCATGACCGTGAGTCCTTGCTTGTGCTTATTCGGGATTCTGTAGTGACTCTTTCTTGTTTAATTGATGGACTCGATATAATATGAACAATATGAAGAGGAAAAATATGAATTGTAAACTCCTTGGTGTGTTGGCTCGAAATATGACACGATTAAGACGTAAGAAATGAACGGAGGAGGAAGAGTTGTAATTACTCCCTTGCCGGGACGTGTAAGTTAATGTTGTTGCTCCCTTGTCGGGAGTTAATGGTTTATTTGTATTCTCCCTTGCCGGGATGGTTGAATTGATGCTTGTTCCCTTGCCGGCAAATCCTTATATATTATGAAATGGGATCGTGTGGCACGCCGACCACATATATATTATGAAATGGGATCGTGTGGCACGCCGACCACCTAGATATATATATTATGAAATTGGATCGTGTGGCATGACGACCACATATATATTATGAAATGGGATCGTGTGGCACGCCGACTACCTAGATATATATATATTATGAAATGGGATCGTGTGGCACGCCGACCACTTATATAGATTATGAGATCGGATGTGGTTTCGTGTATACTTCTGATAAATTGTGTTCATCTGTATTTCCCCTAAGCATGTCCCCTCCCTGCCTTAGCTGGTATTTTCTGTTGTTATTTCATTGTACTTGTTTATACCTATACACCTGCACAGGTTGTTTTTGGTAGGTCCTGTCTAGCCTCGTCACTACTTCGCCGGGGTTAGGCCAGGCACTTACCAGCACATGGGGTCGGTTGTGCTGATGCTACACTCTGTGCATTTTTGCACAGGTCCAGGTATTGAGCAGCAGCAGCAGCATTAGCACAGGGGCGAACCTTCAGTCCAGAGAGACCCGAGGTAGCTTTTAGGCGTCCGCAGGCCCGACGTCTCCCGTCTATCTTTACATTTGGCTGTCATCTCATTGTACCCGAGATAAACAGATTATGTTTCTTTCATACTTTGTATGTAGTACTCCTTAGGTGTTCGTGATTATGTGACTCCAGTCCCGGGGTAGAGATATATGTGTTGGAACTTCTGTATTATTGACCATCTATCTACATTTAAGTCTTCCGCTTATGATTTTAATTCCGTCGTCTTTATTTAATGTTGTTAATTGTTAAAAAGGAATAGGTGTTTAATGAAATTGCTAATTAAGTTGTCTTGCCTAGCTCTCATTAGTAGGCGCCATCACGACTCCCGAGGGTGGGAAATCCGGGTCGTGACAAGTTGGTATCAGAGCACTAGGTTACATAGGTCTCACAACTCACGGACAAACTCGGTAGAGTCTGAGGGATCGGTATGGAGACGTCTGTATTTATCCTCCAGAGGCTACAGAGTTAGGAAAACTTCACTTCTGTTCTTTCTTGTCGTGCGAATCTGTTTCCCCAAATACTGATTGTCTTTCCACTCTGTTCTTTCGCAGATGGTGAGAACACGTGCTTCCTCTTCTACCGCGCAGCAGCCCGAGCCCCCAGCAGCAGCTCCTACGAGGGGTAAAGGGCGAGGCCGAGGTCGTGCCAGAGGCCGAGGCCGGGGCAGAGCTCAGCCCCGAGCAGCAGTCCCAGAGGCGGAGCCTCATGTTGATTATGATGAGGGGGCTCCAGCCCCAGCAGCTCCGGTGGGCCCAGCTCAGGTCCCAGAAGGGTTCATAGCCACCCCAGTTCTTCAGGACGCTCTGGTCAGATTGGCAGGCTTTGTGGAGAGCGTCACTAGAGCGGGTTTGCTTCCAGTAGCACCAGCCGCTTCTCAGGCTGGAGGAGGGGTTCAGACTCCTGCTACACGTACTCCGAAGCAGGTAGCTCCCCAGGCTCAGGTTCCAGTGGTTCAGCCAGCTGTGGCGGTTCAGCCAGGTATTGTGACTCAGGCCGGCGATGGAGCGGCTATGTCCTCAGATGCTTTATGGAGGCTTGATAGGTTCTCCAAGCTCTTCACCACCACCTTCAGCGGTGCTCCTACAGAGGACCCCCAGGACTTCTTATTCAGCTGCCATGAGATTCTCCGGACTATAGGTATTGTGGAGACCAATGGGTCGACTTCGCCACTTTTCGTCTAGCAGGATCCACCAAGA